AAAATCTTTTTTCTGCATTATTCACTTGCTTGTCACGCACAAGTCTACCGTTGTTTACAGTGATGTCGGCTGCTGTTTTTTTTCCTTTTACTTACTTCCGAACAGAGAGCCTCATATCTGCTGTTCAAAAGGCTACTGAGCAAATTAAAACTTTAAATTATGCAAAATTGCAAAACGCTTGGCCGTGTCTCTAATCCAACCTCTGTGACTTTGCTCTGCTTCACTTCAGCAGCATAATGTTCATATGTTGATCCATGGTTTTCTTTCGTTTTTGATCTACTGCAGAATATTTTTAGAAATCCCAGGCCAGGAAAATCACCTTCATGTTTTTCTGTGTTTTATCCTCAGTTACTTTGACACAAAGGCATCTGCTGTGATGCTTACACCCTTGATAAAGTCTCGCAAGTGTCAGCTTTCTTTTTGTAGATATAAAAACATGGAAATGTACTGATGCATGATCTGAATTATAATATTCTGACTGTCTGAGGCAAAATTCCCCCAATTCTAATCGAATCGGAATCGAATCGATGCTAGAAATCAGTGACGATACCCAGCCCTAGTGGAAAATATCCGTAAAATTAATTATACAGAACAGCTAGAGGATTATTTCAGGTAGTAGTGATCTAACTTTAAGCCAGAAAGGATAAAAACAGACTGAAGGGCAGAAAACAATTTTGACCCTTTAAAAGCTAAAACTGGGGCTTTGTAGGGAATTTCTGTCTGTTTAAATGGACAGAAATTCAAAAGCGGGATTAGATCCTTCTGTTCCTACTCTTTTACACTTTAAAATTAAATATTGCTCTGCAATATATGTATTTTGTATCATGTATCTTTTTTTTTAATCACATTTGCTTTCACAGTCTGTACAGATGTAATTGCCATATTAAACCATATTTTTCAGGGGTATTTTGAACGATCATATCCGCTGTGGAAGTTATTATTGCTTTCCTTTTTTGTTAGCAGGGATACTCATAAAGCTATGGACAAAAAACCTTTTAACAAAGGTTTACTTGGCCCCACAGGCGTGATAAATTTTAGGAGTTGATCTGGATCTAGCATTTTTGGAGAGATTCTAGATAGAGTTTTCACCTTTATCATGTTATCTTTAGCAACAACATATCAGGTCTCAGATGGTTAAAGAGGCGTTGGCCCAAAGGGTCTCTGTCGAATCCTTGATCCAGGTGAAGGGCATGACTTTTCAAGCCAGTGAAATAAGAAACAGCTGAGCAGTTTATGTGCTTAATAAATTGTTTTCCTTCCATTTAATGTACAGAAAACTTTTTATTTCAGAGTGAAAAATTCAACTGAATCAAATATAAAGACCATTAAAGAAAACCTTATTTAAGCTTCCAGACATTCACATTTTGGACTCAAACGCTCAGAAAATCTCCAACAAGTGTAGACAAAATAGATCCAGCGCATAGTATCCTTTATTTTTTAAATTAGAGCTCTAATAAAGAACTGAAGGAAAGGACACTGACCTTTGCAACAAGCTTGATGTTCTGAAGAAACAATAACTAAACAGCTGAGCTTTTTGAGCATACAGCTACTTATAAAAACTAACATCTGTATGAAAATAGCTGCATGCACCAACTCCAAATTCCACCAACTGCCTTCTTAAGGCTTAAAGTGTCTAATAATTCAGAGGTTTAGTCAGTGCTATCTTTTTTTCTTGGTTGGTTACTGTCACAGGTTCTTTATTCCTCTTTTCTTTCCTTCAGCATCTTAATATATTTTCTTAACAATCTTAAAGTATTCTTTGCTTCAAATGATTATCGCCAGTGTTTACTTGTCAAGGTGAGTTTACATGAGTGACTCTAATTTCAATCACCCGTCCCTTGACAATAAAAATCCCTCTTGAGTGTTGAGACTGTAGATTTATCTGTTAAATGATCCGTCTGATGGATTATAATTGAAAAGCCCGCACCACAGTTATCTGACCTGAAGTCTTATTGGATGATGGTCGTCATGTAAACACACGTCCTCTCTGGCTGGCTGGCTCTGCCGGGAAACATGTTGGCGCTCGCTCACTAACAGGCAGTAATGGATGATCAGCTGGCCTGACAGCTGCACGGCTGCTGGCAGCTTTCACTTCAGAGCAGCAGGAAGCTCGTCAAGTCGTGTTTAGCGCACCGTGGGGAAGCCCTGTTGTTACACACACGCATACACACTGCTCTGTTTCACTTCCTCGTGACATGAGCTGAAATTAGTGGAATCACTGCTGTCGAGTGTCTGTGGGGAGTTCACTGTCTGTAATACCAGCAGGACATTTGAACATCTATTCTGATATGACCTAAATTATATATCACTGTATTTTTGGGGGGTTTTATGGTGATATAATTATACAATTTAAAGGAATGTTCCACTCAAGACATGCTTCTATCTGTCTCTATTATGTGTTTTTGGGCTCTAAATATGATTTTAAATGAAACATAATCCTGACAAATGTAGGTTAATTCTCATTGTTAGCAGTAACAGCTTTGAAGTATCACTTGATGTCTGAGCTGAAGACAGACTGTTAATAAGACATCGACATAGCTTAGCTTAATGTCCATTGTCATTTTGGTATCTTGTAGCCAAAAAGATGCAAAAGTAGAATGTCAAGATGTCATAAACATATTTATTTCTGCTGTAAAGTTGGTCATCTTAGAGTCTGAAGCTGACTCACTCAAATGGACGTTAGAGGAACTGTAGCTAATTTGGCTTGCTGTGTTGTTGTCACACAAAAAGGCTTGTGTTGTTAATGGCACTAACAGAAGGTTAGAAGGTTAGCTCAAGGTTTGGTGCAGGAAACTGTAGAATCTACCTACCCTTTTGCAGGTTTCCTGAAGTTGGCCGATCAAATTAAACTTATCACTTATCAACTTGTTCACTTCTGGCCCCAAAATCCAATAAGGCTGTGGACAAAACACCAGCCTTGAGAATTTAGATTGGATCTTCTGAAAACAATGGGTTATATCCTTTTTTTAAACAGTCTCTAAATGTAAAACGGTGTCCTACCCAACCTTACTCTGTGTTTCACTGTCTGTAATAGAGGTGTATTATTTTATTAATACAAAACTAAAGGCCTTTCTGGGGTATTTCTAGTTTATTCAATCTTTTATTTTCTACTTTGCCTCTGGTGTCATCCTTACAAGACGAATTTCAGTCTCATATATTACTCTTGAAAATGTATTTTAGACCTTCCAGGGTAAAAATTGGTCTCCTTTCTTTCATAGCTCGCCATCTTGTCCTTTCCTCCCCTGCTTCTGTCACTCTGAGACGTTTCTTCATGGCATTATGTCACCGCCAATTACACTGAATGCACCATCACTGGCGGCGAGGGTCACCCCGGGCCTACCGCGCTATCCCACCACTACTGACCGCCTTAATGAAAGCTGAGCGGCCGGGGCGCCGGCGAGCAGGCTTCTGTCCATCAGCCTGGCCTGTCCGTCTCACTCCCCACTTCCTCATCTTCCTCTAACTCCCCCTCTTCCTCCCTTCACGGCTGGACTCTATTAATACCCTCTGTCGGAGTGTTAATGTTGTAGAGGTCCAGTGAAGTGACACGCGTGGCAGCGCGGCTGTAATTGCTAATCAGCGGACAGTTTTATCCCCCCTCCTCCCCCTCTTCCCTCTGCCTCCTCTTTTTTTTCTGCTTCTTTCTCCTATTTTGATCCCGCTCTCTCGCCTTCTCTTTGACCTTCCTGCTCTCTCTCTCTCCTAATGAAGTGTGGGCGGTGAGCGGGCGATCGCTTGGCCTAAACGGTCAGTCAGCCGCAGCTGATGTGCGTAGGAGAGAGAGCGAACAAAAAGATAGTCAGACAATTAAATGAGCGCTGATTTCCTTCCATCTATTCACATCCAGCTCCTCTCATCTCTGATCTTTTAAATGTTGTTTCTCTCGTTTCGCTCATTAGCTTCACTCAGCCGATTCTGGACGTCATTTAGCTCCAGCGCGCACAAAGATCGAGGAATCGAGAGGCTTTAAAATGCACAATTAGGACTCAAAAGTGGACAATAATTTCCATATATTTTTTGTCCACTTTTGAATGGAGTTGTGTTTTTTTTACTCTCTTTTTGGTTCTGTATGTGAAATCACAGAGACATTTGAGGCTAAAGTGTGCTTATAGTTTTGTTTGTTTGATATTGCCAAAGACTGGATCACAGTCGGATCTTAAGCATACACACGAATCCCCCCCAGCACGAAAAAGCTAGGTTTTCCTAAATGAGTCCCTAAATATTTCCATTCATTTCCAGCAAGACTTCACTGTCAGTAACTTTCTATTGGGATGTCTTCCTGCTCACTTTGAAATCAAAGATTCTTTTTTCATTAACTGAAGAAAACTACCATGTAAAGAGTCAAATCTCCTGTGATCAAACCAGTAATTTCTGTATCATCACCAAATTTAACATTGAAACCATCAAATAAGTTGGTAATTGTTCATTTCTCAAAATGGTTGTACTGTTCACCTTCAGCTGTTCCAACCTTTCCATTAACACATTCATTACCTTCAATAATATCTCTACAAAGCTATTATAAATTTTTAATGTCAAGAAATGAAGAAAAGAAGCGACGTCGTCAAAGTATTTTATTAACAGATTTAGTCAGGTTACAAAAATGACACCAGAGCTCACTGCATGACCATTTTGGCCTCACTTTGGGTGACAACAGCGAGCATACACTGCCTGTTTGGATTGTGGCATCTGCCCTGTATGTACTCCCACTTGACCATAATGGTGCGCCACAGCTGTTCTACTTTTGCTCTGTCGGTGTGCTTGGGCGCTTGATGGCCACTTTAACCAGAGCTGGTCGAGCTCACCGACGCTGCAGAGCTGCCGTTCAAGACAGCGACGATGGAGTACATCTACATACCGAGGAACTTATCGGAGAGGCTGCGGATTATCATAGTGGAGTTCAGAAATTTCTTTTGCAGATGATGATGCTGTTTATGTTCAAAGTGCACAGCTGCATTGAAAGGCGTGTGCTGACAGTGTGTTTATCTGTGTGTTTTCTGCAGGGCATGCTGCTGAAGAGGAGCGGTAAATCCCTCAACAAGGAGTGGAAGAAGAAGTACGTGACGCTGTGTGACAACGGTCTGCTCACCTATCACCCGAGCCTACACGTAAGACACATACACAATTGCACAAACACATACAGCCACTGTGAATGCTTATTAGACTGCAGCGCTCTGCCAGCCTGCACTGACCTCCATCTATCTGCTGCTCTTCATCTCTCCCCTGCGAGTGTGTGTGTGTGTGTGTGTGTGTGTGTGTTGATGGCTTGTGTATTAATTAGGACTCGTCATCTGTTTGCCCACGTCGGCGCTGATGATGTGAATATCATCTGTAATGTCTCTGCTAATTGCCCCAGCTCTCTGCCCTGTTGGCACAATATCCTGCCCCCGACGCTGCTTTATTATCTCTCACACACACACACACACACACACACACACACTTTTTTGTGTCTTTCACTCTGTCTGCTGCTCGTTTTCTCTCTGTCCTCTTGCTCAGTCTGAAGTCAGATTAGATGTATTGCCTCTGATAGGTTTTTGCCACATTTTTGTTGTGTAATTAACGTTTTTTTGTCTTTTTTTTTGTTTTCAAAGAATTTTGGCCACGAGTGCATATCAATTTGTTTTATTTTGACTTCTTTTTCTTTTATGTTAAAATGTAGACATACAGTTGTTTTGTGCAAAAAGATGCTTTACAAAATCACAAATTTGATCATAAAAATGAACACAAAAATCATTTCAGTGTGTTAATACGGTTACTTTGTTTTCTTTCTTACTTGTTGTGAAAATGTATTCATAATTTTCTTTAATTACATCGTATTTTCCATGTGGGCATTCTTCAGTTCAAGATTGCGTTTTAAAGTGGTTTAATTAATCTGTTCATCAGTCGAAAACTGGAAGAATTTTCTGAAACTGTTTTAAATAACAAAGAAAGGAAGCCAATTTCACATATTTAGAAGCTAAAAATCACAAATTCTAAACTAAACATAAATGAAATTTATTGATTATTTTTTAAAAATACTGTTTACAGTGGTCCCTCGTTTATTGCGGGAGTTACGTTCTAAAAATAGCCCGCGCAAGGTGAAATCCGCGAAGTAGCCAAGTTTATTTTACAATTATTATACATGTGTTAAGGCTACAAAACTCCTCACTACACACTTTATACACTTTTCTCAGTCAGGCACGAATATTTTCACACTTTTCTCTCTTATTTAAACACTCAAAGTTCAAACCTTCGTAGAATAATAAGTTCAGTATTATAGAATGAAACCACCCACGGTTGCTTTTGATGGTGCAAAACGTTTTGTCAACATGATTGTGTTTGTTGGGGGAAAACTTACAAACATACAGTACAGCACTTCAGAGTCACACTACTAGTGATCGAAGAAATTTGACCAGCTGGACGCATTCTGTACTGTACAGGAGACACGGCATGAGATTGATTGACAATGGTCTACAGCCAATCAGGACACAATGTGCTGTAAAAAAAAAAAAAGAAAAGGAAAAAAATGCAAAATTGCACAAAAAAAATCCACGAAACAGCGATGCTGCGAAAGGTGAACCGCGTTATAGCGAGGGACCACTGTATCTCTTATGAAGCGGCGATATTTTTGCTTTGAATCAATAAAGGAATACATGTATGAACTGCACTGGAGGTGACAGGATAAGGTTGGGGTGGATGGAGCGGTTGGAAAACAGTTGATTGACCACTTGATAGTGCTGGGGTCACTACAAGAGATGGGAGTGAAAAATACTGTGGAAAAAATGAGTAAAGGACTCTATAGACATCTGATTTAGAAACATTGTAATTTAGGAGTATGCTCGCTTTCTTTTCATTCTTGTTGGTCTCTGCTCAGTAATTATGTGTTTTGGATGGTTTTTTGGACTTATTTGAACTGGTTTTAGCCTTCATTTCACTGATTCAGGGTTGCTTGGACATCATGTTTGATCTCTTCAGGATTCAGATTGTTTTGTTTGACAATGGATGGCTTGTTTTGTGCAAAGCTGATCAGAAAAGCATGAAAGGTCCCCTCCATGTTGCCTGGATTTTCTTGTTTTAACCCACCGACAGACAAAAAAGTATCTTAGAACCTGAAAATATTTGTTTTAGGTTGAAAAATGACCTAAATGAACAATGATTAGCGCATTTTAGAAGTTGCAGATTATTGTTATGCTGTTCTTGACTAATTGACTATTGTTTTTATCTGCAGAAACATTAAATCACAAATGATTTGCTCAGACATATCCACACTTCACCAAACTGCACACGTCCATCAGCCATTAGAGCAGCTGATGCAGTAAATTAGTGTTAAAACTCATCACTTAACACATCAACACACACAAACCCCCTCCAGCACCAAAAGCCAGGTTTTCCTGAATGCTTTGCATCTGCAGCTCCGGCGTCAATTAACGTGTTTGCGGAGGCTAATCGAATGAAACTCAATCAGCACCACTAATTGCCCGACTATGTGCAAAGAAATCACATTAATGCCGCTAATTAAGTGGATGGCAATAGATGCCACCTAATTGCCAAGAAAAGTCTAAAGAGGAGAAGATCAGGCCAACAAAAGGCGAGAGTAATTAATCGCCTCTTGTCACGATGTGACTCTGAGCAGTGAGAGTTGTTAAGAGCACTTAAGAGCAGAGATTTTTTAGAAACTCTTGTGCAAGAAAGAATGATTAGAAGTCAGTTTTTCTTTTCTTTTTTTGTGTTCATAAGCCTGAAACTAAGGCAAAGAGCTAACCAACGCTGAGTGAACACAAGATAGAAACCAAGATGGTCTTAAAACATTCATTTTTAAACATCCCAAATCCAAATGTTCAAAACGAAATCCAGCAGTAAAAGTAATAATTGATTAGAATTAGAATAGAAAGTTCTAACTTCAGTGAATCTTAAATGCAAGTTCAGTTTTTAGTCTTTAGATAATAACTTGAAGACACTACAGTTTTCTGTCTATTGAGATAATTTTGCATTAAAAGCAATGTACATTTACAGTTTGCATATCAACAGATGTAATTTATAACACAAACCATAAAAACCTGTTATGTAATGTGTTTAAGTTCATTTAGGCTTTAGGTTTGAACATGGATTATAGATCTCTTCAGGTTTTTTGACACTGGTTTCTGACCTGGTTTTGGGCTTGTTCAGGTAGGTCCTAGGCTTAGTTTTAAACTTATTTAAGGTGGTTTTGTTTTTGACTTTGTACTTGGTATTGCACCGATTTTTATACATGGTTTTCAACGTGGACGTGTTTAGGCTAGCCTTTGCACTTCTTTCTGACCTGGTTTTGGACATGTTTAGATTTTGTTTGGGACCTAGTTTTAGACCTGTTCAGCCTACTTTTTAGACTTGGTTTGTGACCTGATTTTGGACATGTTTAGTCTGGGTTTTGGGTTTGGTTTGTGACTTTGTTTTGGACATGTTTAGTCTGGGTTTTGGGTTTGGTTTGTGACTTTGTTTTGGACATGTTTAGTCTGGGTTGTGCATTTGGTTCTGACCTGGTTTTGGACCTGTTCGGGCTAGTTATGGAGCAACTTTGTACTTGTCTTTGTAACTGTTATTAAATTAGGTTTTGTACCTGTCATCTCTGCACCTTCATCACTTTCTCCACATTTTCAGTCTGATCGCAGAGCTTCTTCTTCTTCTCCTTTATCTGCTGTCGTCTGTTTACCAATCGATCGTGTTGTGAAGTAGTTCGCTCTTTATGGATTCATGTTTCCTTTGGCGTCAGCAGTATCCAGCTCTCAGTTCATGTTGCATTTTTCACACTGATGCTGCCGTTAATGCGTCCATTTATACTGACTGCACGCAAACACACACACACTCTTAAATACACTTTCTTTCTTCCGCGTTCATAAGCTGACAACATGTTCTCGTCCTCTCTCACACACACACACACACTCGTCACCACCTGCTGTCGGTTTGTTTGGTCGATACACACATCCGTCCTGGACGCCGCTGCGTGGTGTGGACGATCGGGCCGATGATGAAAGCTCTCAGATGCAAATGGAGACTCAATTACCTCGGTCAATCTGTCGGAGGGGTGTGTGTGTGAGTGTGTGCGCATTTGTGTGGGTGTGGAGGGTTTACCCAGCGGGCCCCTGGCTCGAGGGCTCTCCAGTGGCTTGTTAAGACACCGTCGAGAGCACTTGGCTTTGAATTGGCCTTTTGTCAGCCGAGCTGCCAGAGGGAGGCGGGAAACACTGAAAGAGTGTGCGTGTGTTATAAATGTGTGCATTATTATCCAAGTCTGTGCAATAACAGCAAACCGAGGATGCTTTCTGAAATAATGCCACGAACAGTTTGCATTTAACAGTAATTACTTCAACTGTATAGAGCAGCGCAGCTCTAATGAAAGCTGTAGTGTGTCAGAGATGAACACAACATTGACAAAAATGGGGAAAAATAAGAAACTTTATTAGTTGGTGTCAAGCTTTGGTTGAGTTTAGGTGAGGAATCCAAGTGGAAAGTGAAAGAGGGTTTGGTATTTGCCAGAATACACTGGAACAGGTTATCGTCTTATGGCTTATTACAATTTTTCGACATTCATAAATAGTGAAAAGGAGGCGATGCAGGAAGTTGTGGCTCAGTTTTTCTTTTTTTCAGGTAAATCAAAATAACTTCATGTTGCTTAGATCAGGTATCTGCTCTGAGGTTGGATTTCAGTCGTTACGTTGGACTGATTTTGGGTTATGTTTTTGGACACTATTTAGACAAACTCCCACTTGGTTTTGTACTTGGCTTTGGGTACATCTTTGGAGTGTTTTTAGGTTCGGTGTTTCCCTTTGGTTTTATCTTAGTTTTAAATAGTTTGTTTTGGCTTTTATTGCTTTGCTTTTGTCTGGTTTTGACCTTGATTGGTTTGGACATATTTTAAACTGGTTTTATAAAGTTTGCTTTGAACCATTTTTGTGGCTGTTTTGACCTACATTTAGACTCATTTATTAGCTTGGATTGGGAATCTCTTTGGGTTGATCTGGACTTGTTTTGTCCTGTTTTATAGTTGGGGCTTGGTTTTATACACATTTGTAGAGGTTCACTGGCTGGATGTTCTCGACTCATTGTCCTGCTATGGAACATCTGGATCCATTAGATAGTTCTTTGTAATGGTTAAGAATGTGAAATAATTATTTTTTCTTCAGATAGAAAAAAATATATACTTGTAATAGCCTTCTTCTCCAAACCAACACTTATTTCCCTTCTCTATGTCTTAAAAATATATATATCAGACTCTCTTTTTAATCCACAAGCTTTGTTTCTCATCACCACCTTGATCCTGAAGAGGAGGCCGACCTCCCAAGGTGCCGTGCTTCTCTTGGGTCACCACTGATTCTCTGCCACCGTCAGAGAGGTGGGGGTGGATTTAACAAGCACCTCTCGTTCGTCATTAAACACCACTTCTTGTCTGATCCATCCGGTCTGGACCGGAGGGGGGCTCCTCGCTAGGGGGGCTGCCGAGGACCCTGACAGTGGTCGCTCTTGTTTCAGGCACATTGGCGAACGGGCAGAGCCAATCAGAGTCCGAGTGTTGGGCCACTTCAGTGCCGCTTTAAGGGATTAGTGTTGCTTTGTTTTCATTGTATGTTTGACGGATTTGGGAGGTTTATTATCCCAAATAATCCCACTCGTGTTGATGAGATCGCTTACACGCACGCTTCATTTTACTTGCTTTGTGTTTTGTGCTCTAAGTGTTGTCCCATGTGTTTGTTTGCTGTCAGTGGGCCTGCTTGGTCAATGATTGCATGTAATTACATTTTTAAAATGCTTTCTCTGGTTTAAACGGTTGTAAAATGTCTGAATACTCGTACGAATAAAAATGGGTTTGAGATTCATGTAGGTTTAAAGATTACGGGACTTCAACACAAAGTTTGAATTCTGCCTTCTGTTTGTCAGGACTACATGCAGAACGTCCACGGGAAGGAAATCGACCTGCTCAGGACCACGGTGAAGGTCCCGGGGAAGAGGCCACCACGCGCCGTATCCACCTGTGCCGCCATGCCGAGCCCCAAAACCAACGGCCTGACGAAGGACATGAGCAGCCTGCAGCTCGGACAGACTTCAGGTGAGGCCTGCAAACTGACACCTGAGAGCGTCTGTATCAGTCCTTCAAACCTTTCAGCCATAGGTATAAGGGAGATCTTTGTCACACCCCTCCTCCTCTGTGATTGGACGGCAATGATTTACCTGAAATTCAACTTCTTTTTTTTTTACTGAACACCCGTTTACAATAATCAGAATTCATCATCTAGAAGTGCATGCTCTAACGTATCTAATTTTTCAAAACAAAAGCCATAATTACTTATAAGGAATTTACCAGGATGCATTTAAATCTAAATAAAAGTTTTCTATTTAGTTTATTGCAACTTACGTTTTCAAAAATATTCACTCCTGCTATCAAACATCCAATCAGGAAGTCCATTTGTTATAGTTTAAAGTAACGAGTCTTTACGTCAATTTTCATGTGGATATCCAGGTTTAATGGTTAATTTGTGAAATTATTATTAATCACTGTAATTAAGTAAGATACCTGTTTAAACTCCATGTTCATGCTTTTAGATGTCTCATTTTATTTTAAACATCCAAATCTTCTATTTCTTGTAAAATGATACCATAACAACAATAGGTTTTCACATTTCTCCTACTGTTATTGGGAGAATGATTAAAACTGAGATTTCTATTGAGACAAACTAACATAAAGAAAAAGAAATTTGCATTTATTTTCTAAAAGTGTCTTTGAAAGGCTTAAATGTAACTGTCAGCATTCACACGTAGAAACCAACAACGTGTTTGGAGGTAAAAGCGTTGTGTTAAATAATGGAAAAACTGAATCAGCGTTATTGAAATGATGTAATAAAAATGAGCTGAAATATGAAAACATAAAGGAGTGAACATGAAGTCTCGCCTCCACTCAGCAGCGATTAGCCCGTCATCAACACACTTGTTTCCTAATTGTGCTTCTAATCGCCACTCTCGCTCTGACATCATAAACACGAGCGTTGTTTTGTTCGTTCTGAGTCAATAAAGATTGATTGAAAGGAGGAGGGGAAAAATCTGCAGTTCAGCCTCGAAGCAAACGTGTCTTATCACCTGAAGGAAGACGTCGTAAAACAAAAGGTAGAGCGTAATCCTGCGTGTCACACACACACACACACACACACACATAAAAGCAGCGCTTATGAGGCTTAAATCTCTCTCTCTCACACACAAACACACACACACATGCGCGCGTGCAGGAGGCCCGAGCTAATAGCATGAATATTCAGTGAGCTGTACTCCATGTACTAATTATTGTCATGAATATTAATGCCATCAGAGTCCTGGCTCCATTCAGCCAGCACCAAGAAATGAGCTGTAATGAGAGAATGAGGAGGAGGAGGGTGGGGGTGACTCACCCTGCTGCTGGACCACACAGCCTCTCACCGACTCGAGGGTTTGATTTAAGCAGCCGGCTCGTGAGAGGCTGCCTTTTATGGCTCCCTCGTGTTTCTGTGTGAAGTAAATGAGAGTGTGCGTGCACGCCAAGGAAGGAAGAGCAGGTCTGCAGATGATCTGTGCCACGCTCGGGACGTTTGAAGCTTAAATAGCAGCACGGGCTTTAAATGTGATTCTCTGGTCATAAGAAACATGCTCAAGTGTCAGTTTTCTTCAGTCAGCTGGTTAAAATGATCAGAATGCCGAGCTAACTGTACATGGAGCCCGTAGTTACTGCTCCCAGCCTGTAGAGGGGAGCGTGACAAATTCAATCCAAAAACTCACCTTCCTCCAGTGATGGAGTCCACAAACCAAAGGACAGCTATGTCCATCTTTGTATATTCAGTGTATGGTGCTATCGTCAGGCTTCCTGTCATTGTCCAATCAGAGGAAAGAGAGCTGTTAGGAAGGAGGTTTCTTAAAGAGAAGCTAACGCAGCTTTTCTCACAGAAGTTATGAGTGATAAGTGAACACTGCAGGTATCTGAATCTTCCTTATATGCCGCATTGACGTCTCCACTTTGTGTTTCAGGCTCGGTGACTAGCAGCTCGTCGGTGTCGCAGATGGCGAGCGGCGTCAGCTTGGTGTCCTTCAACAGCCGCGGCACGGAGGGGATGCACCAGCGCTCGTACTCCGTCTCCAGCGCCGATCAGTGGACCGAGGCCACCGTCATCGCCAACTCTGGAGTCAGCACAGGTCAGTGACCGGCACGCTCACGCAGAGTCATGTGATCCTGAGTTAAACCGCAGGTCACACGAGAAGCTACACAGATGGGACTGAAGGCCCCAGCGTGGAGCTACGCGAGGGGGACTATCATTTGTCTCCCATTGATCCAGCTGCCAGACCTCTAATACTGCCTTAACTGTTTGTCAAGCTAATGGACTGTCTGTGTGTGTATGTTGGTGTGTGTGTCTGTGTGTGTGTATAGGTGTGTAGGACTTAAAGCGCCAGTATTAACCAAACACACACACAGAGCAGGAAGCTGAGACTGACAGCTGTCAGGCTGTGTATGAGCCTGATGTTAAGCTTGAGTGGCAGCTCCTTCTTTGGGGCCTCCAGCCTTCCTCAAATAACGTTTAAAGCTGTGAAACGCTCTCAATGGGCTCCCAGGGGCAACACAAACACACAGTTTCTATAGGTGTAAGGGCACTCCTTTAAGGTCCCTGTGGATCCTTAAAAGGTACTTTATGCAAGAGTAAGATATTAATTAACCTTAAAAATGGTGATGAAGTCATGAATTCTTTTGTCAGAGATCTGAGAAATGTTACAGATCTTACAGCAATATCTGAAATCTAAAAAAATAATTGGGACAAACGAGTAGTCAAGACTTACATGTGTTAACTCATCACTCAGTTCTCAAGCAGTGTCGAGGCCAAAATGATAGGAAATAATTATAGAGAAGAAAAAAATGAGAAAAACAAAGATATTACATATTAAATAAGCTAATGAAAAGATAAGTAGTAATATAACATCTTAAAAATACAGAAAGGAAATTAAAAACAGAAGTAAATAAACTGAGCATGTTAAATAAATAGGAGGAAATACTGCAGATTCAATCATTTCCGAAATACTCCTGTTTATATTTTATTAGGTGGGGTCTGCCCTCCATAGATCAACTGTCAGAGTTAATAATAACTACAAAACTGCTTAAAACATTTGTATTAAACAGTGCAAAGATGCAAAAATAAATAAAATTCTGCAATAAATAAATACTAAAATTAAGATTAAACTCATGAAAAAAATTCAGTTTCTGCTTCTTCTTTGAGGTTTATTAGGCTCACAGGTGCTTTGCCGCCACCTTCTGGAGCATAAAACAAAGAAAAGTTTGTAGTCTTTGGACCAGCTGCTTCTTCTTCTGTGGTGGTTTGTGTGGTCTGAGCAGCTGGTGTTTAAACTGTTGATGAGAGAAAATACACCACAGAAAAACAATCAGAGTTTGGACTGAGAGAGAGTGCAGCAGGATGAGGTGGTTGTGGGGGTGGGGGCAGCGGTGGTGGGGTTTGACGTGGATGGAGCGCGGCTTGCAGATGGGAGGGCCGTTAATCCACGGCGGTTAATTGCGCGCTCGGGGATGGCATCTTGTCAGCAGAGATAAGTTGTCACATTTTCCACTTGAGCTGAGACTAAACGATTGTAAAATAAGTTATGGCCGTCCTTGGGGCTGTCTGCTGTTCGGGGATGCGCCGGCCAGCAAGCGCTCGACAAGATACGTTTGTGTGTGTGTGTGTGTGGTGTGCACACGTGTTTCCATCTGCACACACAGATACACACCGCGCCCGTGTCAGTGTGGCCGCCGCGCCGTGATATTGATGGAAGCTGAATGTTATTTTATTCCGCCGCTAGTCACAGCTGTCAGCAGCCGGCGTGAAGAGTGGAGGGCAGAGAGAGAGAGACTCCACTCACTGTGCTGATAGCCTCGCTCGCCCACAGGTCTGAGCCTGCATGTCGACCGGAACGGGATTCAGTATAGTTTACTTTAATCCATTTGGACCCCGTCAGTGGTGATTCCGGATATTATATATATATATTTATACATTTACTGTTCTGCTTATAAAATAGAGCAGTCGAGGTGTGAGGTTTTGCGCTCAGATTTACTCAGCTTCTGTTCTGTGCCAAAGAGTTTTGCCACCATGCATATTAAGGTCATTAGTGAAGTATCAAAGGTAACTGTGCAGCAGGATCAAGAGCTGAAGCCAGAGTCAGAATGAAGAGCAGGGAGTCCTGTATCTGATGGCCTGGACTTCACACAATCCTGATCGCAATATCAGCAGTGTGAAATTACAGGAAGAGACAAAAGACTCCAGTTTAATCCCACTGATGAAGCAATTCCTCCATAACCTGTAAGTCAACTACAAAGCCAGGTCCAGAGTCCAAAATTAGGCTCACAACTAACCCAGAAGTTATTAAAAATAGCAACCGCAAAAGCTTTTTTAGGGTACTCAAAAACGAAATCAGAAAACTTGTAAGTTCTTCCAAACCAGTACCAAACCAAATTTAAAATCATACCCAAACCTAAGTTAACCCAATGGAAAATTTATTTTGAAAGCAGTTTTAAACCAGTTTAAAAGAAAGTCCCAATAATCCCATTATGAAGTGTAAGAAATAAGTCTGGTGTAACATGAAGGAACCAAGACCCTGAGACTAATTTAGAGAACTGTGACAAGCCCTCGAAGATGTTAAAGGTTTAAAAAAACCAAAAAACGCTGAGGTCAAACCAAAATGAAACTAGTCAAAAACTTAATCCAGAACCAGCTTAAAACCTGTCCAAAGTTCTCAGCAGATAAAACAAGAAAGGCCACTTGTGTATTAAACTTACAACTATCTCAAATTATCTCTGAATGTTTTTCTCCACAACCATAAACTTGCCCTTTTAAGACACTGCAGAAAAAGATGGGTGCCTCGACCTATCCTCCACCCACCAAAAAGCTCTTTGGTCTTTAGAAAGCAAAACCCCCCAAGTAGTTCTGTTTAGTTATATTTGGCATCAGTCTACAGTAACAGTTATTTTACTGATGGGTAAAGATCCTGCAGTATTATAGTGAGAGAAGCCCATTGATCACTTGTGAGCAGTATGGCAACAGTGTAGAGTTCTATTTGTGATTTTATTTGGTTAAATTTGCAGACACAGGCCTGGGAGACTCCGTCTGCTCCAGTCCCAGCATCTCCAGCACCACCAGTCCAAAGATGGAGCCGCCGCCATCGCCGCACGCCAACCGCAAGAAGCACCGGCGGAAGAAGAGCACCAGTAACTTCAAAGCCGACGGCCTCTCTGGTACTGCGGAAGGTAACGCCATCTCCCCTCCCCCTCGCCTCGCACTTTCCCCGCCTAGTTCTTTAAAAACATACAAATGAAAACATCATCTTTAAAACTGACCCGACCTTTATTTTCTAGTTTTCAAATCTTAAATCCCACTATCTTTGTAAAGTTTGTGTATTGATGCTACACTCAACAAAAATATAAACGCAACACCTTTGTTTTTGCTCCCATTCCCCATGGGATGGACGTAGAGACCTAAAATTCATTCCAGATACACAATATAACCATCCCTCCCAAACAGTGGTCACAAATCAGTCCAAATGTGTGGTAGTGGGCACATCTGCTATATTGAGATAATCCATCCCACCTCACAGGTGTGCCACATCAGGATGCTGCTCTGACATCATGAGTAGTGCACAGGTGTACCTCAGACTGCCCACAACAAAAGGCCACCCTGGAATGTGCAGTTTTGTCTCACAGCAAAATGCCACAGATGCCACAAGCAATGAGGGAGCGTGCAATTGGCATGCTGACAGCAGGAATGTCAACCAGATCTGTCGCCCGTGCATTGAATGTTCATTTCTCAACCATAAGCCGTCTCCACAGGCGTTTCAGAGAATATGGCAGCACATCCAACCGGCCTCACAACCGCAGACCTCGTGTAACCACACCAGCCCAGGACCTCCACATCCAGCAGGTTCACCTCCAAGATCATCTGAGACCAGCCACCCAGACAGCTGCTGGAACGATTGGTTTGCACAACCAAACAATTTCTGCACAAACTGTCAGAAACCGTCTCAGGGACGCTCAACTGCATGCCCGTCGTCCTCATCGGGGTCTTGACCTGACTCCAGCTCGTCGCCGTAACAGACTTGTGTGGGCAAATGCTCACATTCGATGGCGTCTGGCACGTTGGAGAGGTGTGCGCTTCACGGATGAATCATGGTTCACATTGTTCAGGGCAGATGGCAGCTGAGAATGTCCCAGTTCTTGCATGGCCAGCATACTCACCGGACATGTCACCCATTGAGCATGTTCGGGATGTGCTTGACCGGCGTATACGACAGCGTGTACCAGTTCCCACGAATATCCAACAACCTCGCACAGCCATTGAAGTGGAGTGGACCAACATTCCACAGGCCACAATTGGCAATCTGATAGACTCCATGCGACGATGTGTTGCACTGCATGGGGCAAATGGTGGTCACACCAGATACTGACCGGTTCTGGGTCCCCAGACCCCCAATAGCGCAAAAAACTGCACATTCCAGGGTGGCCTTTTGTTGTGGGCAGTCTGAGGTACACCTGTGCACTACTCATGATGTCAGATCAGCATCCTGATGTGGCACACCTGTGAGGTGGGATGGATTATCTCAATATAGCAGATGTGCCCACTACCACACATTTGGACTGATTTGTGACCACTGTTTGGGAGGGATGGTTATATTGTGTATCTGGAATGAATTTTAGGTCTCTACGTCCATCCCATGGGGAATGGGAGCAGTAACAAAGGTGTTGCGTTTATATTTTTGTTGAGTGTATAAGAAAACCCTGAACCTTTGTTCATAGTGACATTAGTAGATTATTTGGGACCTAGGCTGGGAAACGCAGTCATGTGATTGTCTGAGATTTTCGACCTCCTCAATGAGGAAAGGATCTCTCCATCCTGTCATTCTCTCAGCCCTTCATCTCTTCACCCTGTTTGGTCTTCCTCTTCTCTGTAAAGTCTGTGGATCAATGAGTGTGTACATGCACAGCAGTAACTCCATATTAGTGAATCCAACAACAGCTGAAAAACCTGCTTTCATATTAATACTGCAGACATTAAACATGAAAAGCATTGTCTTTGGTAATAATTCAGCTGCAGATAACCTGATGAAGCTAAAGTTGATCAGAACAAATCTTAAAGACAGTTACAAAAAGCCAATTAGAGACCTGGTTACTAACTAATGGCTAATTTTGTATATGCTTCTATATATGCTTATATGACAGGTTGGCATCATTTAAGTGCATGGAGACATCCGCCATTTGGCGATCATTGTTGGACAGTTAGAGGAGCAATTCCTTATGAATGTTTGGACTTGGGTTAGATTTGATGTTGAAATTTGTTATTATGTTTAAAGATTTTTGATTTATTGTGGGGGGGGGGGTTGTTTTTTCTTTTGTTTATAATAGTCTGTAGAACAACTGAATTAGCTTGAGTCCCATTCAGGGACCGTTCAGCAGTTGTAGCCACATGTGTTGCTATACACCTGTCAGTCAAAGTGGCATTGCACCTTTCAAACTTTAAGCCTTAATACAATTAAAACCGGTAAATTATTTTAAAAATTCACCATCCAGTTATTGTGAAGGAGGAATGTAGCCATAGAACCCCAAACAATTTTTGTAGCAGGCTGTAAACATGCTTAATTCTGCTGTGAACATGTGGACATCTTATAATGTGAGACTGATTCACTTTTGGAGGCGGCCTCAAGTGGACATTAGAGGAACTGCAGGTTTTTGTACTTTACTTTTAAGCCTTGGAGTTTGATTCTACTCTGAAACGAGCCCACTTTCTTTTTCTCACAGACTTTCTTTGTATACGTCAGTATCTGAAACTTGGGCCATGCTTAATATATATATTATATACTGTAGTATTATGTTCATGACAAGAAGAACAATAATACGTCTTCTTTATTGATCAAGGAAACTGAATACAAGAAAACTCTAAAGTAAGCCTTTTACATTGTGGTTTAATGGGTTGTTGCTGATCGTTTCTGCTGAGAGACTGGATCCAATATTAATTTGTTTAGCAGCGTCATATCAAGTGTTTCACACTAAACACAGCAGAAGAAAATTCTTAGTATTAATAAAGTGGCTGGCGTAAAGGAAAAAAAAGAATAAAATATGGATTCATTCATGAATAAAAACCACAAATTAAACTTAAATATATACATTAGAAAGATCCGCTAAACATCAACCTGTGTGTTTCTTTCTGTTCTGTTTCTGCACCACACATCTATGACCTCCGCCCGCTGCTGTATCCTGATTGGCTGATTCCATCCTAAATTCCTCCTCAGTTTATCACCATTATTGATGTTTTTGTGATAATTATCGAGATCTTTTATCACACACACACACACACACACACACACACACACAACACACACACACACACACACACACACAGTAGCTCGTTGAACAGATGTGGCGCAGCAGCAGATGGGTAATGTTCGTCCCTCCATCAGTGAGGTATCAAGCAGCTGACAGGACAAGTGGCTGTCTGAGTGACAGATTGACGCTGCATCTGCCTTCATCTCTGCTCATTTCCATCCCTTTATTTTCCTTTATTTCCTCACATCCACCCTCAATGCTTCCTTTTTCGTTTTCAGTCTCCCCTCCTGGTTCTTGTCCTCATTTCCATCTTCTCCTCTAATCTTGTTCCTCGTTGTTTTGTCTCATCTGTTTCATTCCTCCTTCACTCTGTTTTCCTTATGCTTTACTCCTCCTCCTCCTTTTTTCCCCCTCTGCAAGCGTTTTATTATCACTTCCTCTGACCGCCACTCGTTATCAGACGCTTCCCGACTCCCTCATCTCGCCCCCACATTAGTCAGCCAGAGAGGCTTAAGTGAAATATTATAAATAATCCAGTGTATTGAAATCTTTTATCAGCTGTGTCACTTTCATTATTCAATAAGCGATTAGTAACAGTCTTCCCAATTTAGCCATTAAGCACTGAGCGTGCTCAGCCGGCCGCTGGCTCACCGCCTGTCACGCCGGGCGGGCGGGTGAAGTATCTTCATGTCAGAGCGAGGCCTGGCGTAATTCATGAGGGGGAACCGCCCTCTGCGGCCGAGCTCCCCCAGGTAGGACCACACCAACACACACACTCGGAGATTCTCACCCTTAGTTTGCTGCACCAGTGGAAGTTCCTGGTGGTGATGGTGATACTTCTACCCACCAGTATCTTTTGTTTCAGATGGGGCTTTTTGTGACCTCTGGCCAGACTAATGTGCGTGACTTTTTAATGACTCACTGACCTGCAGCTCCACCGTATTCACCTGGATTTGGACTTCATGGCTCATGAGGATGTTTTACTACCGTTCTGATGCATTTCAGTTTTCTGTTTTGACCAGGTCTTGGTTTTATTGGTGTATTGACTGGGACTTGTCAGATTCATGAAGATGTTTTTTAAAGGTATTCTTGCGTATCATCTTTGGTGTACTTCTGGTTCATCCATTGATTCTGACTTCTGTCACGCTTACATTTGGACTAAACCCATGGGATAGGATGGGATAAACCCATGAATGGGTTTTGATTTTCACTTATCTTGATTTTTAAGGGCATTTTTTTAGTGTGTAGCATTTGATCTAGTTTAGTTTAATTAATGCATTCATAGTTTATTGGGTTAGGATTTATGATAGTTGTTTCAGTTTTCTGTTTTAACTTGGTCTTGGTTTTGTTGGTTTTATAGGTGTACTGACAAGGACTTACCAAGTTCACGTCGGTGTTTCTACTCTGATATTTTGGATTTTTGGATCAAACTACGACTTCTTTTGTGCCGTTCTTGCTCATTAGCAGTACTTTGTTTTGTTTTGTTCTTCACAATGCTTTTTTGATTCAGACTTGGTTTTGGCTTATTGTCTTTGGTAGAGTTCTTGTTCATCTATTGATTTTTTTATTTAATTTTTTTGGATATGTGGGGTTTTTTTTTGGTTTAGTTCTAGTTTGATTAGTTCAATTTAATGTGTTTCACCGGGGTTAATTGCGAATTACTTCTTTTAGCCTTCAGCTTTAAACATTCTTAGTTTTGTTAGTTCTATCCTTGGTTTGTCAAGTTTATAGGCATTTTTTGACTTATTTTGGTTTTAACTTTTATTCTGAAAATTTTAGCTCAAATGTAGCTCTTCATTTTTACTTGTGGTGGTCTTTGAGTTAGTTCTCTACATTATACATGCTTCCCTTAGGCATAGCACACATTTTCACTGCTATGCAGATGACACCCAACTCCTAGCCATGAAGTCAGATAACACACAGCAATTTGTTAAAATGCAAGAATGTCTTACATACATAAAGCTCCTCACACACAAGGTCTTGAATAATCAGGGCTCATCTTATCTTAATGACTTCATAGTACTGTGTGACCCCAATAGAGTGCTTCACTCTCACATTGCAGGCCTACTTGTTGTTCCTAGAGTATTTAAAAGTGTGGGGGGAATGGGAAAAGAATGGGAGGCAGAGCCTTCAGTTTTCAGGCCCCTCTTCTTTGGAACCAGCTTCCAGTTTGGATTCAGGAGACGCACACTATCTCTACTTTTAAATTAGGCTTAAAACTTTCCTTTTTGCTAAAGCATATAGTTAGGGTTTGATCAGGTGACCCTGAATCCTCCCTTAATTATGCTGTAATAGGTCTAGGCTTCTGGGGGATTCCTATGATGTGTGAAGTATTTCTTCTTCAGTCACCTTTTTCACTCAATATGTGTTTATACACCTCTCAGCATTTAATTATTAGTTATTATTAATCTCTGGCTCTCTTCCACACCATGTCTTTGACCAATCTTCTTCTCCTCACCCCCAACTGGTCATGGCAGTTGGCCATCCTCATAATGAGAGCATGAGTGGATCTGCAGCCTCGACACCGGGCTGCCATTTGAGCTTTGAAAGTTGACCTCAGTCTCTTTCGTTCAGCTTCAAAAGTTTGAAGCTGAATCTGTGGCCACATTCCTGAAGTTTAAGTTGAGAAACGGTGGCTTTGATTCCTCACACGGAAAGCTGCTCACAGCTGATGTTTAAGTTGTGTGCGCGCCTCTCAGATCACATTCGTGTGTGACGGTGTCTCAGCTGAAGAGCTTCACCTCATTGTTGTCAGGTGGTCGGTGCACCTGCAGCACGCCGCTCTCTGACTGCTTCATCAAGGCCTTGAATTCCTTTAAAGTCGCAGCTTAATCAGGAAGGTGGGCTCCGCCCTCCGTCACAGGTCAAATAGGGTCAGAGAGGGTCAAACAGAAGGGAAACAAAGAGGGCCTCTGTGGAGGAAAGACCAGGTGGTCCTGCAGTTACCTGTCAGTCACTTTGTTTTAGTCTCTCTCCCTCTGACACAAGTTTATATAGTTTACACAAACATGTTCTTGTGTTGTAAAGCACTTTGTGATTTTTTTTTTTTTATCTGTGAAAAGCGCTATATAAATAAATTTTACTTTACTTACTTATGTTTAAGCTTTTTCAGACAGGTTGGTGAGAAACATTTACAAGATTTTTTAAATGAGACGCACAAAATACAAAGACTATCGTCAGTGCTGGATAGACCTGCTGATGTTTTAACGTTTTCTCCAGTATACAACATGAAGAGTAACAAACTGTTCAAATAAACTTCAAAGCGTTCAAAGATCAAATTAAACATCGACATAGCCTGTACACTCACTACAGCTATAGCCTGTACATACTTATACTATATTCATAACATACCTTCATACCGTGTACATTATAACATCAGAAAGTGAGAAAATGAGGAAAAAGAAAGCAACAAGCTTTCACAAACTTCCACTAATGTACGATTTTTGATATCAGCGAGCTCCAGAGAAACTCTTGCTCCTGGTTCCTCCTTAGATCCCTGATCCCTGAGGAGATGATCCAGCAGGCTACACAACATGGTTTAAACCATGAGTCGACTTAGAGGCAAATAATATCTGAGTTAGACTGAGAGGAAAAACACTTCACGTCCCCCTGCTTTGAAAAAAAGCTCATACTGGAGTAACAGGCTGGATATTCATGTAGGTGGAGTGTAGTGACAGTTTTAACTGAGTCCCATCACTTTGTGGTGTCTTATATCATGAAGCTGCTTCTGCCTCTTGATTCATTTTTTAGCTTTTGTTTTTTATCTCAGATCCATGACTCTGGTCTCTGCTTCAGCCTCTCTGCTCGCGCTCTCGGGGCTCCAACCTGTGACCTTTTTAACACCACCCTGATTCATTCCATCCGTCACTCGCCTCGCCTCCTGTGGCAGATCGAGGAAAACAAAGCGGACTAACATTAAAGTGTCAGCCGCGGCTGTATTTCATCCTCTGCAAATGTTGCTTTGGTGGCAAATGCTCGCAGTAGCCCCAGGGGGGAGTGAATATTACAGAGTTTGCAGAGGTCAAAGGTCACAGAGCTCAAACCTGTGGAAGAATCAGAGCTACAAAGGAGCTACAGAAGTTCAGCGTTTTTATCGTCCCATCATTTGTTGGCACTTAGGTTTGATTTAATGCTTAAAAAAATCACATTATCACAGTTTCGACCATATTTTTTGAAGAATGTTGCCTTTATATTCTGCTAAAGGTGATTAATTAAAATAATTAATCATATCTATGAAATAAGAGATTATACTGAAAACTGTCTAATGCAATTTCAAAGTTTAAGTTGACTTTTGTTTTATTCTATCCAACCAGCAGCTCACAATTCTAAAAAGGAAATAAAAGTTCAAACCTTACACATCACACACTGATATTTCGCTCTAAATTGCCCGCAAATAAGTTTTCTTACTTTCTTGGTTATCTTTTAATGTGAAAATCTCGAGGAAGTGTTGAGTTGTAGCTCAACAGCAGGTTTTTTTGAGGCTCTTGTTGTTTGACTTTCAGTGGGTTTAAAGTGTCATGAATATTTTTAGTTTGGTTATTTTTTTATCAGATAAATGTGAGCAGAAACTTTTTGATTGACATCTTTAGATTTTTTCCAAGTTCTATTTTTTTATTTGTAGTGGATTAAAGATGTACTTTGTTGATCTTTCACGGACTTCCATCCCTTCATTGTGCTTATTGGCTCCTCCCACTTCAGCACCGAGCCACACCCCCTCCATAGCATCCTCTGCACTGCTGGTTTTGACACCTGTCTCTCTCTTTCTCTCCCTCTTCCCCTTTACTGTCTATGTCTTATATTTGTTGTCTCATTCCTAAAATCTGGCCTCACCTCTCCTTTGGTCCTGCATGTTTCATTCCTCATTCATTCCTCTTCTCTTGTCCCTTGTCTCCTTTGTTCCTGTTCGGATCGCCTGTTATCTCTTCTTCATTCCTCTATCATACCCGCTTGACCTGCTTTTGTTATTCCTTCATTCCTTCTTCAATCTTCCTTTGGGTCCCCATTCGATCTTCCTTCATACCCACATTATTCCTGTTTCCTTCCTCGCTGCCGTCTTTTCTCTCTCTCTTCCTGCCGTCGGGGGATGCAGCCAAACGTAAAGCTTGGAAACTAAATCGCGTCTCTAGCCTTCGCAGCATTTACACCAACAGTCTGCAGAACTCAGAAGGTAAAAAAAAAAAACTGCTGTGGTGGGACGGACAGACCCCCAACTGACCTCCACCCTGACCCTCCCACCACTGCAGGGTTGGAGTCCCCTGTGCTGGAGATTTGTGCTTTTGATTCCAGGAATGAATGAGTTGGTGATTTGCAGAAAAAGATGATGAAACTGGGTTTAAGTCACTTACATGTTTAAGCAAGAAGCACTGAGACACTTTTATAACATGAAGGCTAATTCTTTAATGAATCATCAACTTCGATCAAAGAGGGAAAATTAGTTATTAGTGATATTTATAGTATTAGTAGTATAATATATAGTAATATTAAATTATACACCTTTTTTTCTTTTTTTACCAAAATTGAGGTCAGTACAGAGTTTAACACTCATCATGGACCATAACTTGAAAGTGAGCTGCTAGCTGAGCTGTAAACTGAACATGGATTGGTTACTTCTGAAAAAAAAGAAAAACTGAAAAAACCCTGATATAGTTTTAAAAGAAACTAAATATGTTGCTGTAAATTTTATGGATTTATGACTCACATAGTCAGTTTTAAGGTATTTTTGCAGTCAGTATGGGATGTTTGCCCGACTTGGACTCATAGTTAACCTTCCCGTCCACTTTATATCCATGTACAACATGTTGGAATTGCCATTTTAAATCTTTTTCACCACCTCATATGTCTTAATCAATGTGAGAGTAATGCAGTATTGTCCATGGGGAAAAAAAATATTTCTCTAACTTTATAAACCACACAGGGATATTTTCATCCTGCAGTTTGGATGTGTTTCACCTCTAAAGAGTTCTTAGAGTCTTTTTGCTGCAAATCATCCAGTCAGTTCTTTCTCGGTGTGTCCATCTGTGTTTGGTCCAGTGGAGAAAGCATCTGTCTTTCCCTTCCCCTGTATTTCTTTGCCCCACCTGCCTCACCTGTGAGGACACAGCCAACCAAACACCCCCACCCTGGAAGCATGGGCTGTACAGGTGATGATACACCACAATGTGATGTGCGTTTTGTGCGATAGTGTTCCAGAGCATCTTCTGGTGTGATTTCCTCCTTCATGAAGTATGTGCTGTGGTTCGGTTCCTCTCCGTCTTCTGCTCAAGAGCAAAAAAAATAAAAACACAGAGCCACATATTTCTTTCTCTGAGCGACTTCTGAACAATCGGCTGCAATATTTTCCAGGTTATTAATGTTGTAAAAGGCTGCGAATAATATGGGGAGTAATGACCTGTGTCGCAAAGCAATACTGTGTGCGGTGACATTTAAGGCTTTTAATTTGTGTTTCCCGAGGCCCCCTTTTGTCTCCCTCACGCCTCCCCTCTCATTGCACCTCCCGTCCTCCACTCTCAAACACACATACACCTCCCGCTGAGCCTCAACACCTCACACCCCGGATGGATGATAGGCTTGTATGCATGTCCTGCCCCCCACCCCCACCAACCCACCCTCTGCCAATCCCCACCTCCTCCCCCTCTTCCTGCCACCATTCCTCCCTGCGTCTTGTAAATGCTGTATATTTGGTTTGTTCTTTTCTGCCGTTAAAGGTTGCCAGTGTCAGAGTTCACAAATTGCCTCGGCACCACCTCTCTCTGCGCGAATGTCACCCACAGTAGCCGAGAGCGGTGGCAGTAATTACCCGCACAGTGCGGCGTGGTTGGCGTCCGAGTTTGTGTGTGTTTGTGCTCTCGTGCATACATTTAGACACACGCAGCAGCGAATGGAGAAAGAAAAACACAGGCCGAACAAGGCAAGAAAAGAAATCAGGGGGAGTTTTTTGAAGATTTCCTCAGAGGATTTAAAATCTCTTTTTATAGCTTAAAGTCACATTTTGTTTCATTTCCAATCTGAATGAGCAAATTAAACTGTCAAGACAAAGACACGATTTTCTAGAAAGTTCTTCAAAAAATAAGCTTGATTGTTTTCGCCTTCAAAGTTTGGGGTTTAAAGTAACTTTGACAGCTAAATGGTCCTTAAATTAGTTAGAAAAATGAGAAATTACCCAATCCAATGTGCTTGGAAGATCCAGTATGATCTTGGAGGTTTATTTTAATCACGTACAGCAGTGTTACCCATGAACGTGCGATGAAAGAGCTTTAGTTATTTTTAGTGAAATGAACTACTACTGTAAAAAGTCTGAAATAAAGTTGAGGAAAGTAAATTCTTAAAAATTGTTTCCACATGCAGCAGTTACTCATCAACACGATCATCACGTATGTGAATCTGGCATTTTCTTACTTTTAGCTCCGTATTTGGTCTCCTCCACTTCCTGAGGAAAATATCTGGCCTTTTATCTGCAACATGCTGCATGTTCTGCGACAGCTTTGGACATATTTTGTTCCTGATTTGTTTTTAGACACTTAGCATTATTTTTGTGAAGATTTATCAACTTTACTTGTCTCTTTTTACACTTTCTAGTCATACAGTGGTCTCTCGTTTATCGCGATAATAAGTGAAATAAGTGAAATCTGCAAAGTAGCCAACTTTATTTTTTATAATTATTATAGATGTATAAGGCTGTAAAACCCCTCACTACACACTTTATACACTTTTCTCAGTCAGGCATGAACATTTTCACACTTTTCTCTGTTGTCTAAACACTCTCAAAGTTTAAAACTTGTAGAAAAATAAGTCCAGTATTATAGAATGAAACCAAAGGCACCTGCAGGTGATGGCGTTTCGTCGAAATTCTTGTGTTTGTTGGGGAGAAAACTTACAAACGCACAGTACAGCACTTCAGAGTCACACTGCTAGCGATCGAGATTGATGTAAATTTGACAAGCTGAACGCATTCTGTACTGTACAGGAGGCACGACACAAGATTGATTGACGTTGGTCTACAGCCTATCAGGACGCAGAACACAATGTGCTGTTTAAAAAAAAAAAAAAAAAGCATGCAAAATTGCACCAAAAAAATTCAACAAAACAGAGAGGCCGTGAAAGGTGAGCCGCGTTGTAGCGAGGGACCACTGTATTGCTTGCATCTTTTTGTGTTAATTTTTTGGACATTTTGTTATTTTTATGACACTTAAGTAATATTACATATTTATTAACATTTACTAACACTAACAGCAATTTTTTTGTATTTTACAGCAATTTTAGTTGTAGTTCAGAGATTTTTTCCAATTTATGTTGTCATTTTATTCCTATTGCTTTTTTTCATAATTTTCTAAAATATTTCTCAGGGAGTTCATTCCAAACTAATATAAAATAATGTTATTATTTTATTGATATTTTCTTATATTTTTAAAACTTGTTATATTTTCTCCTTTTTTAGAAGACAATGTGAACATTGAACACTTTTATTATCCTCTGCCCCTCGGCCCGTTTGCAAATTGAAGCTGCACATTCTCAGCATTAATTAAGCTTCATTAATGTTAAAGGTAATTAATTTTAGTCCTTGCACTTACATTTTACTTCTAGCTCCTCACCCTGGATATAAAGCAGCTAAAAGCTCCACGTTTCATATTTGACCTATTGAATATAGTTTCCATTTCTAGTTTCTATCATAATATAATCCAGTGAATATCTTTTGGTCTCCACCTCTGTTTCTTTTAGCTGTTGGCTGCTCAGAGAACTGAAACTATGAGCTAAAAGAGACTAAAAAGCTCCACAGAGTAATTTTTCTACCATGCTTTAAGATTAGTGTTGCTGCTGAGGTCCAGGCAGGGGTTTCATAGTAAAAGTGGGTGGTGGGAGTGGTTCTTTTCCCCCCTGATTTTATTCATTAGCGGGCTTAGTGCGCTGGGTCAGCATGCAGCATTTAAATCCAGAAACACCGTTTAATTTACGCTGCAGAGAGGCAGAGCCTTTCTGGATTGTTGGTTTCCATAATTGTCAAGCAGCCTCCACCCCTCCCCTTCCCCCTGAAAACAGAGAATCATGGGAATTTAATTATGATGGGATTCTGGCTCTTGACCCTGCAGGGCTGAGGCGGTGCTTGATGGGTGAGCCGTCATTTAGAACGAAGAGGCACCCGGTGTTCACCCAGGAGCTCCGAACACACTCCCTCCCTGCATTATGTACAGTTTGCCCTTCATCAGACACACGTTCATACGCAGAGCTTCGACTTCCTCTGGTCTGAAGATAGTTTGATGATGGTAGCACCCGCTCTGAAGTCACGCAGTGTCCCCGTAAATCATGAAGGACAGCAACAGATGCTCCTAAAATAAAACTCATGTTTTTATGCAATCAAGTTAATAATCAAAGGTCAATAAGCTCCAGGCTATGAATCAGGATCGAGCACTGTGTGAAACTCTGGATGTTTTTCTATGTTTTTGGAGGTTTAATTTAGTTTAAGTGAAATTATTATAAGTGCTTTATCTTCAATATTTCTCGTGATAATCTGGGGCCCTTTTTCTATTTTTTTCCTGCTTTTTGGGACAATTCTTCTTCTTAGACACCAAAATAAATGTTTTCCATAAAATGTATTTATATTAATGTATCGTTTAAAGAAAAGTAAAAAAGGTTGGTTTTTTTGACACCTTTTTCTGTCATTTTGTTTTTAAATTCTTTAAATTTTTTTATTTTTCCAATTTTTTGTATTTTAAAAAAACTTTTTTTAAATATATTTTTTAGAAATATTAGTTTGACCAGTGTTTTCTTCCTCTTTGTATATCATTTTACAGATTTTGTTTATTAATGGTTATTAATATAAAGTAACTGGAATTTTTTGTCTAGCTTTCTTCAGATTTTATTTATATTTTTCAAACAAGTTTTCAGACATTTGTGGGGTGAATTTTTCTTTCCTTTAGCTGCTTTTTGAACATTTTATTATTCTCAACTCATTTTCAGTTTGGACCTGCAGGTTTTAATTAGGCTTCATTAATGTTAATGTTGATTAATTCGGTCGCTTCCTCTAAAAACTTATTTCTGGATCCTTTCCCAAAAACATCACCTGGAAAAAAGCAGCTTGAAGCTCCACTTTGGTAAAAATGTCCAGCTTTTTTCCACTGTGAGAAAACCTTTTATTAAATATTTTCCTTTACAGTTTGTCCCTCTCGTTTCACTGCTTTCATGAGAAAAGTTCAGTCTCATCATTGTTTCTCTGAATCTCTGCGCTCAGCGGCTGGTTTACTGCACAGATCGGTTTAACCTTGATCCGTTAGCCGGCCCTTGTAAACAGTAGTTTTAATTAACGTGAGCTCATCCGACTCGGGCCGTCAGCTGCCTGCAGCAGCTCACAGATGAAAACGATCCTCGGTTATCTCTAGTAGAGAAACTTTGGAGAGCAAAGGTGTTTTCAATCTCTTCATCTGGAAGTGCGGGGCTTCCTCAGCCCGCCGTTCGCCTCGGGGCGCTTCCTTCCATCCTTACCTTCCGTCCTTCCTCTCCTCGGACAAGGCCATTGATTATCCAGAGCAGAGCCGGAGGGGAGCTTCGGCTCTGCTGCTCTGAGACGATCCCAATTAGCCAAATGACTGGAGTTGAGGAGGAGCAAATGGTTGTTCCCTGGCGGGCCGGCCGTGACCGCTCTCCGACTGATTAAACCCCTCATCATCATCATCTTCTTCTTCTGCTGCCGCCGCTCGTCATGAACGGCTGCTTCCAGAAACCCTCGCCCGTGTTGTGAGTGATTACCGAGCTCACTGCTGAGATTTTGTCTGAGCCCGACGCCGCGCAGGTTTGGATGGAGGAAAGCATTTCCGGGTCACACCAGCAGAGACGGTGGAATCCTGGGAATTATCAGGCACGCTGGAGGCCATCCTTTGATTAAGTGATTACCCGGTGTCGCCTCCTCTTCCCTGCTGATCGGGGTTAATTGTAAACAGAAGCTGCTTGTAGTCTGATCTGCTGTGGTGATGATACTCAGCCCCCCTCCCATCCCGTCTGTGCGCCCTAACAGTTTCCAAATGTGGCTGACATGTCAACGAACAAATGTGAACATCTGTGGCGAGGCATGGAAGCAGTCGTACAGAAACACAGAGGATTTTCAGCTCCACGAGGTTTACTCAGAAATCCAATCAAATTTTACAGGGAGTGCAGAATTATTAGGCAAGTTGTATTTTTGAGGAATAATTTTATTATTGAACAACAACCATGTTCTCAATGAACCCAAAAAACTCATGAATATCAAAGCTGAATGTTTTTGGAAGTAGTTTTTAGTTTGTTTTTAGTTTTAGCTATTTTAGGGGGATATCCGTGTGTGCAGCTGACTATTACTGTGCATAATTATTAGGCAACTTAACAAAAAACAAATATATACCCATTTCAATTATTTATTTTTACCAGTGAAACCAATATAACATCTCCACATTCACAAATATACATTTCTGATATTCAAAAACAAAACAAAAACAAATCAGCGACCAATATAGCCACCTTTCTTTGCAAGGACACTCAAAAGCCTGCCATCCATGGATTCTGTCAGTGTTTTGATCTGTTCACCATCAACATTGCGTGCAGCAGCAACCACAGCCTCCCAGACACTGTTCAGAGAGGTGTACCGTTTTACCTCCTTGGAAATCTCACATTTGATGATGGACCACAGGTTCTCAATGGGGTTCAGATCAGGTGAACAAGGAGGCCATGTCATGAGTTTTTCTTCTTTTATACCCTTTCTTGCCAGCCACGCTGTGGAGTACTTGGACGCGTGTGATGGAGCATTGTCCTGCATGAAAATCATGTTTTTCTTGAAGGATGCAGACTTCTTCCTGTACCACTGCTTGAAGAAGGTGTCTTCCAGAAACTGGCAGTAGGACTGGGAGTTGAGCTTGACTCCATCCTCCACCCAAAAAGGCCCCACAAGCTCATCTTTGATGATACCAGTCCAAACCAGTACTCCACCTCCACCTTGCTGGCATCTGAGTCGGACTGGAGCTCTCTGCCCTTTACCAATCCAGCCACGGGCCCATCCATCTGGCCCATCAAGACTCACTCTCATTTCATCAGTCCATAAAACCTTAGAAAAACCAGTGTGGAGATATTTCTTGGCCCAGTCTTGACGTTTCAGCTTGTGTGTCTTGTTCAGTGGTGGTTGTCTTTCAGCCTTTCTTACCTTGGCTATGTCTCTGAGTATTGCACACCTTGTGCTTTTGGGCACTCCAGTGATGTTGCAGCTCTGAAATATGGCCAAACTGGTGGCAAGTGGCATCTTGGCAGCTGCACGCTTGACTTTTCTCAGTTCATGGGCAGTTATTTTGCGCCTTGGTTTTTCCACACGCTTCTTGCGACCCATTTTGCCAAAGGGAAGGACGTTGCCTAATAATTATGCACACCTGATATAGGGTGTTGATGTCATTAGACCACACCCCTTCTCATTACAGAGATGCACATCACCTAATATGCTTAATTGGTAGTAGGCTTTCGAGCCTATACAGCTTGGAGTAAGACAACATGCATGAAGAGGATGATGTGGACAAAATACTCATTTGCCTAATAATTCTGCACTCCCTGTAACGCCGAGCTCCCATTACTGACTTTTCTAACGGTTTCTACTCACCTCATCATAAGAGATCTGAGGAAGACTCCAGCATGCAGCTGGAAGCTCACCTCATGAGTCATCTGAAGTTTGAAAAAAGCTTTGAAGAGCTAAAAAGTGGATCTTTTAGTCTTTGAACTCAAGAATTAATTCATGTTTATTTAACAGGAAGTGAAAATTGGTGAAGGTTTTCAAATCTAGTCTGAATATCCTGTTTATTCTAACAGTCGATACGTATTGATGTGGCTCAGTCTGTTAGCTCAGTTACTGTTTTAAAGATCAGCTGGAGAGGTCTGTTGGTTACTGCTCATTTCTGGTATTTTATGTAGTTTAGCTGTAATTTCTTTTCTAATTTTGTGACATTTTTTGAGGTTTTTATACATTTTATTGCAGTAAATCCCATTAGAACTGTCTCAGTGTGGAGACTTTATTTGAATTTACTAAAATGTGATTTTGAGTGAACGGTCCCATTGATGTGTGACTCTGCAGACATGTTGTCAAACCTCGCTGGTGCTGCTTTAAAAAGTGTCCTCGACCCTGAATCCACACAACAGGCTCGCACATACTTGATGTAATTGGCTCCTGATTGTCCCATTAACCTCTGAGGGGGTTCTGTGTAACAGATCCATATGCACCCCCCCCCTCCAGCTGGCCCTGATTGTAATGACTGGCCTCTCCTGCTAACATGTCTGCAGAGAAGAGGGCAGGATGGTCCAGGGACCCTTAATTTGGGTGATATCCTGGCTACAGGGGGCGGGGTCATGTAGGTCAGTAGAACAGGTGTCCTGTCAAACAATGTGAGAGGGAGTTGGTCGTTACAGCCCTCAGCTGAGCATCCACACGTTGTTCTTATTTTTAAATTCTGCTTGGCGACTGTTTGATGACGAAGCTTTTGAATCAAAATGGTCAGAGTAAGGTCAGGATGTGTTTTCATCTCTCCCTCTCTCTCTGACAGAACAAGAGGAGAACTTTGAGTTCACCATCGTGTCGCTGACGGGGCAGACGTGGCACTTTGAAGCCACTTCCTACGAGGAGCGAGATGCCTGGGTTCAGGTCATCGAGAGCCAGATCCTGGCGAGTCTGCAGTCATGCGAGAGCAGCAAGAACAAGGTGAGCCGAGTTCTCCTGGAGCCTTTCAGTCTCTTCATCGCACCATTTTCACATTTGTCCACATCAGGACCAACAAACATGCGAAATCGCCCTTTAATGCACACAAACACACACACGCGCGTTCACTCACATAATTAGAAAATAGCAATTACTGTAGCTCACATTGAGCCTCAGCATTGCCATTTTCCACCTGCAGCAGGCGGCTGCGTCTCATTCGAGGCCTGATGTGTTTACGCCTCAGGCTCTCAGCCTTTTTATTGCCCTCCCACCCAAAAAGAAAGAAGAAGAAAAAAGACGCCGGCCCCCCCTCCCTTCACCAATTCCATTTGTGTATCGTGTTGTTCCTTCACTCTCCGACATTGATGCTCATAACCCAAAACAGCAGCGACTCACATATGCTCAGTGTTTTAAACATTTTTAGCCTAATTGAGAGACAGCGCTGTCAAGAACACAAGAGGTTGATCAGTGTTTAAATCCTATTTTTTTTCTCCCTCAAACTGTAAAGTAAACATTTAGTCAAGAAAAGACGTGAGCCAGAACTGTTTTTTTTCTTCTTCTTTGTTTCAGTCTCGTCTGACAAGCCAGACAGAGGCGATGGCTCTGCAGTCGATCCGAAGCATTCGAGGGAACGGTCGCTGTGCCGACTGCGACACACCGAGTGAGTACAAACCACCCACAGTGTCAACAAAACCTTCACTAACACAACCATTACCCTTCAGTTTACTTCCTAAAAATAAACCATCAGACAGGTCAAGAAAGATGATTCTTAGGGTTCACGCAAGAATGCCTTCTGAGTATCTTCTTAATGGTCAGAGTTAAACTAGACTGAAAGGATTAATTATGTGTAAATGTGACACCATCCAAGAATGGGTCCAGTTATTTCAAGGAGTTGCATAATTTAAGTCCAATTCCTGAAACTCCGTCCATCCTTTAGGTTGTTGTGCAGGATGTTCAGCCTCTCACTGTCCAACTTAGGCTACATTCACACTGCAGGTCTTAATGCTCAATTCCGATTTTTTGATCAAATCCAATTTTTTCTGTCTGCTTGTTCACACTACAAATAAAATGTGACAGCAAACGCGCTCTAGTGTGAACGCTCAAAGCGGCACGCATGCGCAAAAAAAAGACGTCACACACAACGCACTCTGTTTAGACCCAAACCAAACAGTGTTATTTGAATGATGGCCGTTAATATAAAGACTTGTTTCGGACTTTACGTTTCCCAATTTTGCTTTAAGTTATAAAGTTATTTTGTTATTTACATATGGCCTAATAATTATCCTTATTGCTGTTTTAGAGAGGAGCGGTGCTTCAAAGGATAGTTGCTGATTTCTGTCAGAATCTGCAACTATCTATGTACTATGTACTTATACAGTACAAATAAAATGTTCACGTTTCTCCAACGTTGTCTTCCCAACACTTTCACTAACATCTACACGGGATGACCAGGAAGCGTTCACGATGTCTTCTCCGGTGCTGATAATTGGCGTCTGTCTTGTGTCAGTGACGTAAAAGACGGATTTAATGCGACATGACCGTTCAAACAGCAGTCGCTTTCTAAAACATCAGATATGTATCGGATTCAGTACCACAAATGAAAGTGACCCAGATCGGATTTGAAAATATCGGATTTGTGCCGTTCACACTGTCATACCATGATCGGATATGGGTCGCATAGGGTCAAAAAAGTCAGATTGATGCGCTTTTGCCTGCAGTGTGAACGTAGCCTTAGAGATGCAATCTCTCCCAGCAAGCAGGCCAATATTGTGAGCTTTTCTCAGATCATAATTCTTACAAATGCTCTTTTTGCCCATTTTTGAGACAATAGGAAGGAAGAATACAGTAATGCCTACATTCTTTCTTTATCACGTCACATTTAAACCGAAACCAAAAGAAAGAACTTAAGATATAAAATGACGGAGGTCATTTCCAGTTTTGTCCATTTGTTCCCGAATTAGATTTTTTTCGGATTTCAGTTATTGATTACAGACCAAGAAGGTCTGTAATGATGACCAAGGTCTAAAATTCTTCTAGCCTTGTTAGCCACCTTCTACCTACAAATAAAGAGCAATGATTGTCCGGTGCTGGCTTTTACCAACTGTTTAAATTTCATGTCTTGATCTTCCTCTGTAAACACAGTTTAAATAGCACTTTGAATCACCTTGTTGTTGAATTGTGCTATACAAATAAACTTGCCTTGCCTTGCCTTGCCTAAATAGATAAACTTCCTCATTGACCTTTAAAATAAAGGTTGTTTATCCAGAATTCTTACTTTTTAGGAACTCTTTTAATAATCTTTGTTTGTTATAACATATTTACATACATATTTATATACATAAACAATTAAACCGAAGTTCTTTTTTTTTTCCCCAAAAAGGGTATATTGTCTTTAATAGAGTGAACTTGTCTCCTTCAGACCCGGACTGGGCAAGTCTGAATCTTGGGGCCCTGATCTGCATTGAGTGCTCGGGAATCCACAGGAACCTGGGCACTCACCTGTCCAGGGTTCGCTCTCTAGACCTGGATGAGTGGCCGCTGGAGCTCATCAAGGTGATGTCGGCCATTGGCAACGAGCTGGCCAACAGCGTGTGGGAGGCCAACGCTCAGGGACGCCTTAAACCTGGACCGGACGCCAGCAGGTAGGAAATGTAGAAAACATCTAAGGAAAAGAGTTTGGCTCCACTGGGAAGTTTGAATTGGAAGTGTAGTCTGAAGGAATGACGAGGTTCTAAAGATGACTGTGGTTGTTTCTGGTGCAGCAGGAAGTGACAGGATTACATCGAAGCTACAGGGAATAATTTCTCATAATCTCTCATCTCTCAGGTCAGGGCAGCAGTCCTGACGTTGCTTATTGGTTGGAAGTACTACTGTTTTTAAATAAATAGTGAATAGACGAGGACCCAGACATGAGCCTTGTGGAACGCCATTTCTAAAACTGTCTCCAAGAGAGAAGACATTCAGCAAAAACTTTACTTCCTATAAAGTGAGTCATTGTTGTGCTAGATCTTAGATCTCATTTTTTGTATATTGAAAGTTGGATATCAGTGCAGTGCTGCCAGCTGCAGGCAGGGAGCAGTGTTTCAGTGTGTGGCTCAGCAGGGTTCACACTGAGTGTGTTGATATTGACAGAAATGTCACACAATAAAAAGCCCACCTCTGTGTGTGCACTGTCTTGTAGACTACAGGGGATAGTAACAAATCGGTGAACTTCAGCGTGACGTTGGTGTTGATCAGCATGTACCTGCATGTTTGTGTGTGTGTGTGTGTGTGCGTGCATGCTGTGTAATTATCGGATGCTGCAGCCCTGGGAAGCCAGCAGCCATCATAACAAATTAGAGCTGACTGCCATCCGCATGAAGATCGACTTCCCCGTCCTCCCCCCCTCCACTCGCCCCCCTGACGCTCATTAGTCAACAGAAGCACTTTATAATTACTCCCCTCCAACACACACTGATGCACACTCACTTATATATACACAAACATTTTTACCCTACATGCACCGAGACAAAACAAATACATGTAAACAAATGAATATTACAAGCAGTGTTCCTTTAGTGAGTCCAGCTATCCGAAATATCTTCAACATGCCAACTCAAGCAGCACAACAACTGTATGAAAACTGTACACACAGCTATACTTTCTGCTGTGCTTTTTTGAGATTTAGTGCTTGTGTCACTTATTACTCGTCCTCTTAACAAAGGTTTAAATGTGTCAGACTTAATTGTATTAATTTCAGAGAAAATATAAATTCCTGATCGTGGACCCATCATCGTAATCAATTAAACATACGTTGAGCTGAAACTGCAATGCAATCACAGTAACAAAATTTACAAAGTCCTTCATATTTTCAGCTAACAGAGAAACTTGAAGGATTTTATTCTTGATTACATTTATGCTTAACTAGTTTATGGTTTGGGGGTTTTTTCTGCTAAAAACAAAAGCAGACAAAAATATTCATGCAAGATCTTCACAGCCTAGTAATAAGACTTGAATCTCAGGTTAGTGTGCATGAGAAATCAAATTTTCAGTATAAAAACAATGTAAATGTACTCACAATAATTTTTAAATAACTACATTAAAGCCAAATTAATATCAGTAAGAATTAAAGTGATGCGAGTGAATACAGCACTTAAAAATATGTATACAATAAATCAAAATCCAGGTTAAAGTTGGACATAAAAACACAAGGAGATGCCTACAGTCAATATATTTGAGTTCAGCTTTACGACTGTATCTGCTTAGCTGAATACACACAACACAAAAACACACACACTCACTCACACTGAGCGATCCTTGGATATCGACGTGCCATTAGCCGTCCTCCATCAGGGCACTAATGCTTTTATTGTTGCTCATGTTCCTATTTATTTATGAATCTGAAGCATGTTTCCCCCTGAAGAGATTAGAGGAGGAGGTCAATATTATCTCAATTAACCCGCGACGCTCCACTGCAGCTCCATCTCTCTCCTCCCCTCTCTCCCCCATCGCTGTCCTGTCGATAGTATTTATCAGTCCATTCCTTAAGTGGCTCGCTGTTTGTCGTTTCCCCTCCATAAATCCTGGTTTTCTTTCTATCTTTACTCCTCCTTCTCTGATTTTTCCATCGTTTCTCCACCTCTGACTGCTATTTTTTACCCTGTGACTTCTACACCTTCTGTGACTGGCTTTTTTTAGTCCTGCATTTCACCTCTAAGATTACACAAAGGCTATTTTAACCCTCCCGATGTTAAAGCTGGAAACCTGTTTTGTTCTGGGCACTCAAAAATTACTCAAGATTTAATTATTAACCCTCTAGTAAGACATTCACCTAATAATTGTTTATTTTCCTATTGTATTGTACTATTAGTCTAAACAAAATAAGCAAATGAAAAGACACTTTTTCTAAATTATAAGTCTGGGTGTTGTGTGAAATTTTTACACTGATAGTGGCTACTATAAGGTTGTTTAACAGCATCTGTGTTTCCAAATCCACACCTGAATTTTTCTTAAATTTTCTCACAGGTTTTTTTAAACTTATGTGTATAACAGGATGTAGTTGAAGTGCTAAAATGCTGCCTTTGTCCCTCATCATAGTAGTATTTATCCATGGAGGGGTCTCTCACACGTTCCCTGAGACACAGTGGGAGGAAGGCGTGGAGCTTTTATGACAGCTTTATGGAGTGCCAGTGACGGTCTATGAAATGATATGTAGAAGCTGTGTCACCGAGGTTGCATTCACTCAACGCCTACTGCTCCTCTGAAATTACAAACCATCGCTGGGGTTACAGGCATGTAACTGCTGATAAATACAAACCAATACAGTCGCACTAAAAACACAAAACTTGTGTGGAGGGGGTTAAAAAACATCATATGCTATGCTAACCATCAAAGATATTTTCTTAGCCTTCAAGAGAGTATCAGCTGCATATAAATATAGTAGAAATTGATAATTACCTTGATTTGTCAAAGGGTGGTCTTGCTGGAGCCACTTAACATTATGTTTTATTCATCTGGGCACCCATTTAGGTAAAATTTTTAACTGTTAGATTTAAATAGAAGTCCACAATAACATGGGGGAGAAGCTATTGAGAACTGGTACATATTTGCCTTCTCAGATCACACGATTCTGGCACAACTTCACTTCATGGAGAAGAGCAAGCATGTAAAAATCCTGAAATTCTAACATTTGTGCTATGAAGAACAACTTCATTGCTTGACCAACATGTCCTGTCCTGTAGCCTTCGAAGGAAGAGTCGATCAGATTAATGAAATGTTGTAGTTAAACTGTGTAACTTCAGAAAATAGTGTAAATGTGGCCAGATTTGAGTTACACTCAAAAGTAAATAAACCTAAAATCGACATGAGGATGAGGAGTTGTGGAGCCCCACTCTGCTGTTGACATATTTACCATTTTTGGTATGGAAATGCATCTACTTACATCATTTAGTGGCTTAACGTCCTCTTGCATTGTGCACTAAATTACTGCAAATATGTGAAAACATCATCCAAATCATAAATCTCTCCACATTCAACAAGAACCGTGACTAAAACCTGTGTAAAAGAAGAGGAATTGGTTGAGGAACAAGACAAGGCCGGCAGAGGCTTTGTCCAGGCAGCAGGAGGGATGGGAGGGAGAGTAAGGGAAGAGGAGGTTGGGAGGGGTGGCTGATAGATGGAAAAATGCCCTCCCCTCGTGGTCTCTCAAGTGAGTAATAGAGGCCGAAATTTCATTTTGCAAGTGGCTGATTTAATGATCCAAAGGGTAATTAATGGCCTGATTATCTTAATGTTAAATATGGCCAGCAGCAATTACGCTGACCTCCTGTCTGTCAAGGTCTGGCCCCCCACTCTCGCCTCCCAATTAGGTCCTGTTTGGAGGTTTGGTGGGGGGGGTGGAGAGAAGGAGGAAGAGTGAGAATTAGAGGAAAGGAAAGGAATGGACGGAAGAAAGAGGAAGCGTGTAGAATGGCAGAACAAGAGGGAGGTACAACGAAAGGTGAGGGGAAGATAGGTAGAAAACAAAGAGGAGGCAGAAATTTGGAGGGAAAAAAGAAGTGATGCTGGGCGGAGGTTGGATGGATGAGAAGAGGAGGCGCATTAGTATGACCGTCAGTATTAAACTCCTCCATTTTTTTTCTCTCCTCCCCTCCTCTGTCAACTCCCCCGGTGGACCGGAGGGAGGAATTATGTTCGGAGAGATCGCGCCTCACCTCCGTGGCTTCGCCCCCCCATCCAATGAGATATGTGACAGGGCCGAGCCCCGCCATCTCCAGCTGTTGTCATCATCTCTTTATCTTCCCCGGTTCGTCCTCCTCCCCGCGCGTCTGCCCACAGCGACGGCTGGTCCAGGTCTCATTAACATCAGCGAGTCGCGGTGAGGATGAGGAGCGAGTACTGTCGCTGCTAATCGTTTTAGGGCTGGAGCTCATCGCGCCGAATGCAAGGTCTTGCCACGCCTGCTCAGCGCTGCAATGCTTCACAGTGAGGGGAGATACTTGTTGACGTGCGTCGCTCGCAGTGGCAAAGAAGGGAACAGGGCATGTTGGGTACAGTGTGGATGAACACCAACTGTGCCAGCTCTGCTGCGCCAGAGGGATCCTGTTAGAAGTATTTATTTTCTTGCTGCTCACAAACCACAAAAAGGCTCCGTTGTCCTCTAAACGTTCCCATTAACCTCTGGCTGCCCCGCGGTCAGCCGTCATCACCTCAGCTGGCGTGGTCGCCCGGTGCCACGGCCCAGCTGAGGCCACCGCTGAAGGGGCTGCTAAGTTTGGGCTCTCTGCCCATCCCGGAGCACCCACAGGGGCCTCGCAGGCTCCGTCGACACTGCTGCCGCAACACCCCGAGTCTCCGGTTCTCAGCGCCGCAGCTCATTGTTTTAATTACGTGTCAAGTGGCGCATCAACACCAGCACCTTAGGCCTGCTCGGGCTCAGCGTGTTAGCAGGCCTGAGCGGACAGCAAGTGACAGCACCGCTAATCCAAGCTCCTGGCCACTGGACTGGGAAGGTGATTGCTGGCAACATGGTTGGCGGCTCCCTCCCTCCCCCTCCACCGTTACTTCTCTCACGCCAACTGCTGACCTTTGGTAGTCTGTCGCAGAGGGTCAGCGTCTTCCCCTGTTTATGTACACACACACACATCTGAGTATGCTCAAAGCC